TATAGATATTCTCAAAAGAGAATAAATGCGTCGTTGGGTAATACTTGCGTAAATACTTCACTGAAACTAACGAATAAAATCGTCCTGTACATAGAAGGACCAAGTATCCTTGTCACTTTGTGAACCGAGAGTCCTTTCATAAATCCACTTAATGAATTCTATTATATTACGCTGAAAGCTCATATCGCGCATAGATGGAAATTAATTAGTTATGTGTATTATAATAGTATGTTAAACCATGTTGGAACGCGAATATCTCATATTTTATAATTCTCAGAGAAGTGTAAACACAACGTATATCTATACAAATATATGATTTTCTCCTTCTTAAAAAATATTTAGCCTATAAAAAAAAATTATATATTATGATAAGCGTTACTGAAATCGAAGTAACCACAAATTCATTAATCTATTGCTAAAATTCAAGATGGATTCGCTGGAGATTTTTTGGTACTCTGTGTGCCAGCGATTTACATCTGCAATTTACTATCACGGCAATTTGTTGTCAGTGATATGTACACGACGCTCACGAAAACTCCGCCAGTTCCTCTTTTTATTGTCGCGACGAGTGACGTCAATAGCCGCTAATCTTGGAGCTCACTTCCGAAAATTATGACGCTCGCAGCGCGACGTTTAGGGCGATTATTCGTTTGACGATGACATACGGCTGTCTCCTCTTACTTTTTTCATTCAGCGCATTACGCGGGGATCTTTATTAAAAAAACATGATTTATTTTACAGTTTTAAAATATGGAAAGTCTTAGTAACATGGAACATATTTAATTTTTCGTATTCATTTAAAATAATATATTTAATTTTTGAAAAATTTGAGAACGTAAAAACTAATTATTCATTTAACAAAAATATCTTTAGCAAACATATTTTAATATAAATGTAATTTATAAATTGAAACGTTTTAAATTTAAATAAAATTAAATAAAATTAAATTTATTTTATATGTAATTTATAAAAACTCAATTTTAAGTTTTATATATATATATATATAGAATTTAAAAAAATTTTTTTTATTTCAGTATTACTTATAAAAAATTTTATCTGCAAAATAAACCAATCATTTGGTTGACAGTATTGTTTTTTTTATCTAATGAGAATTAAAATATCATTAATAAAATATTTATGTGCAAAATTATAGAGCCTAAGTACAATATCGATTGTGAAAAAATACGCGCTAATCGGAGCTTAAATAAGACGTCTACTGCAAGACGTAATAATGCAGATGTAAGAACACGGCCTACATAAATCAGAGCAAATTTCCGGCTAAAATATCGACTGCTCGCACTGTCTTACGGATTCTCTCTATGGCGATTCTGCAAAAACCCAGATATCGGCAATTTTCTTGGCATATATAAATAATCGTGGTCTGATGTAGGAGATTACTATTGTTGTCCTTGACCGTCAATGCCGATCGTAAAACATGGCAATTGTCGACGGCAATCATCGTGTTTTCCCCAAGAGAAGAAAGAAAAACCGCTTGTTTGCTGGTGGATTACACAGCCGTGAATCGCATGATTATAGTAGCTAGCGGTTTTCTCGCCCACACTTTTCCTTTTCTACCCTTTTACTCTCCAGTTCCAAAGGAAACCGCACGTTCGATCGTAATGACGCAACTCGCACGACTCCTGTCGTCGTTGCATGTCATTGTTTCTCACATTATCGACTCTCAAAGACATCAAAATTGTACAAGCTCTCGCCAAGAACGTAGTAAGTGCTTTCGAGAAAGTAGTTGTAATTTAATTATTTATACTAACAAAACTGTACATAAAAAAATTCGTAGCCATACATATACACGGAGAGAACGAAGTAATTCATAAATTTAACTAGATACAGATTTGTAAATAATTTTGTTAGTCAAAATTATTTTTAGGTAGGACACAAAATTTTTAGGTAGGATACTCAAATTTGACTGCTAGAATGTAAAAAAATTTTTAATTCTAGCAATAAGTTTTAGTGTTCTACCTAAAAACGTTGATGATTTAATAAAATTATTTTCAGATCTGTAAAATATCTAGCAAAATTTTTAGATATTTCAGCGAAATCGGTCTCTATATAGAAAAGACGTAAGTTTTGATCTAAAAATTTAACTAGATGTAGATCTAATAGATGTAGAAATAATTTTGTTAGATCATAAAAATAATTAAATAGGACTCTCAAACTGATTATGAAAATGTTAAAGCGTTTGCAACATTCCTCATCATGTATAAGTTTCCTAATAATTATTTTAATAGTTCAACAAAATTATTTTTAGATCTGTATCTGACTAATTTTTTTTGATACTTCAGCAAAATTATTCTTTCCATGTAACAATACATACATGGAGAAGATGATTTTGCTGAGGTATATAAAAATTTAGGTGGATACAGATCTGAAAATAACTTTGTTGGTCCATCAAAAAATAGTATAGAACTCTCAAACTGGTTGCTGAAATGTCAAAATTTTTTGCAGCATTATTTATCAAGTTTGAAATTCCTATAATAGGATTATTTTTGGTCCAATACAATTACTTTCAAATCTTTATCCAGCTAAATTTTTAGATACTTCAGCAAAATTGTTTTTTTCAAAAAAATATTCTGTAATATAGTATCACTTTTTACTTTTCAAATGCAATGTCGTATCTCTAAAATGATTCATGACGTAGATCATTCTATCCACGATCCCAGGTTTTATCCAAATTAATGAGTCTAGCTTAACGATATGAGACATCAAGGTCATTATGCGGAGAGATACAAAAAGAAGCAAAGTCGTCGCTCGAAAGCAACGACTCTAGTCGTCTTGATCGTGTCAAAGGATTAACATCGATAACGCTGTTTTATTACTGTTTCCCAACTGAATAACTTTTAGAAACGACCGCTGAGTTATTAACTCCGCGATGAATTAGGTCAGCTTGTATCGAATTATTTGTCGAGGGATCAGTCGGTTCTGCTCACGAATCCTACATTTCGGTGGAAACTCGTATTCACATGGAAAGAGCAATTTTGTTAAAATATCTAAAAATTTGTCTAGAGACAGATCTGCAAATGGTTTTGTTAAAATAATTTTGTAGAACGCTCAAGCTTAATGAGCAATGCTGCAAAGAAAAATGGTGACATTTCAGCTTAAGATTTCAACAAAATTATTTTTCAAATTATTAAATATATTTTTAAAGCTATTTTTAGCAAAACCGTTCTTTTCATGCATGTGTAAAGTTATTTCTCTATCCTTGAAAAAAATTAAAATTAAACGACCATAGATGACAGAAAAAAATAGAAAAAGAAAATTTTAGAGCGATGAAATAAAAGCTTACCTTTTAACATATGGTTTGTCGAAAACCACAAAATCTTCTAAAATTTCGAGTAGATATGCGACGACTTTAATATATAATATCGCAGATTGTCTCTTTCGCAACGGATACTATTCGCAAAAAGCTTCGGGCGATCTGCCGGTTGGCGCAACGCCGGTTTTAGAATCTGTTAATTTAGCAGGGGAAGGGGCTTTTTGCGCGCATTGATTAAACGCGTCACGTGATAGAAGCGTCTCGATTATAAATAATTTCGTTCCAGCGGCACGTTTTGCTCCGTTCGGTTTGCACGTATATGCAGAACCAGATGTAAGAACCGCAATATTGCTGGCGCAGTTCTGTGCAATGACAGTAGACGCACAGCTTCTATATAGTGCACTCGATGTTTGAGCTTAGCATTGGACACGTTAGCACACATATTCAACCTCGTTTTTGCTTTGAAGCCGCTCATCGTTTGGGGATCTCTCTTTGAATCAAACGCGGCTTGGTCTACTTCAGTTGATAACCCTCGACCAAAACGTTCCCCGCATGTTTATACCAACATGAGAAATATTCGTGAGACATGCCGCGAAAATGCGGCGCGTCCGACACGACGATAAGTTTACGAGCCTGGGATTTTATTACTTCCGAGCATATCTTTTCCCTGCGAGACATCCCACCGAGGACGATGGCGAGATTTGGCGGATAAATACAAATGTGAGAGACGTCGCAAAGGGACGTTAAATTTGGATGAATCAACATATATTCGAGAAGAGAAGATTCTTTTTTGCTATACTTTCAGGAAGTTTATACAACTTCGTTTCTTGCATAGTTTGCGTTCTGAATTTGAAACACAATTCTTTCTTCATATTTTCTTTTATTTTTCACATTGATTATCTTTGCGCTATCTAATACAATCTCCGATATTTTTTAACGTTTTATTGTTTTATTATTATTACGGAATTTTTTACATATAATAAATTATTATTTTTATACAATAATAATTTATCATAATAATATTATAATAATGGAAAATATCTCTCTCTCTCTCTCTCTCTCTCTCTCTCTCTCTCTCTCTCTCTCTCTCTGTCTCTGCTTTATTTTATTAAATCCGATGTACATGGGATAAAATAAAAATAGCTTAATATTACCATTTATATTTATTTTTTTCATAAACAAAATAGGCATTGTGCGTAAGTACACATTGCGTGTTACGAATTTCAGTGCGCCTTAAATACAGAAACATATATATAGAATAATTTCGTTATTCATTAAATACTTTATCAAGCCTTTCCTGTTTTATTCATACACAGCACACAATGTCGATTATCTTACAGATTGTGCAGCTTTCCTTATGTCTAATTTTAATCTTAATTCGCAGCAAAAACAACAGAGGGTTTTTCGAAATGAAAAGATAATAAGCATGTTTTGCATATCGCAAATATTCATATCCATTTTGTACTATTATGCTAAGGAATTTCATGAAAATTTTATGAAACATTAAATATGTATATCTTGAGTTTAATTAATTGAAAAAATTGTACTCATTTCATTCCTAGCTTCGCAATATTTTCACGACTTTTTTTTGTGGAAAAGCCGAGCTTTTTCAGCCTGTTATCAAATCACGAAGATTCTTCATATTGAATTAATCATTTTTATTATTACAACACTCTTATAGTATACGTGTATAGTATCTTTTTAATAAATAAGTAATACTAATACATAAATATCAGATGGCTGCAGCCACTTTCCGAGTGACGAGAGTCGTGAGATGGCCACTAATTCTTAAATCGTGCTCGCGATTATTTCCGGAATTCTCGTTTTTCCAATCGATCGCTCGGACAATCGCAATCAAACCAATTTCATGGCTGAACTCGAAACTGTTACTGTAAAAATAGACGACGACAAGTCAGCTCGACTGCACGATTGCCGAATGGACGGCTAAAATACGTCGCGATATTTCTACCCGATTACTATCCGAGACTATAAACGAATCACCACCACCGGCAGACCAACGGAAATCGATATGTGTATCAGACTCGATCTACGGGTTGCCGCTCTTTGATGAGGCATATAAAGAGATGCGAAAGAGATATGCGATCAATAATGAAATAAATAGTAGGTAATAAATACTCACAGATCGCACGGAGATCATAGGCGAGTCTCCGATCAGTCCTTCTGAGATTAGCTAATAAAAAATAGCTACCAGAAATTCCACAGTTTTAAACTTATATCGATCCGCGAGTTTGTCTAATATGATCAACGCAATGTGCCGCATGAAATTGATTGCGAAATGTGCGCTGATGAACGTAAAACTAGATGTGAAGTGTATATTTTATAAATAAATAAATGGAGAGAATAAATAAATAGAAGACTAATAAAATAGAAATTAATTAAGATTTCTTCGTCGCGTCACCGATCGGTGATTATCTGCATTGATGACGAATTAAATGATATTCGCGGGGATGATAACGAAGACATGTTATATCTTAGCGTTAATGATGACAGTAAAGGAACATGGTCCATCGATGCCGCGAAGTAGTCCGAATCGGGCGGACCGAATCAATTACGAGTCTTGATCACCCCATTCGAATTCCTCGCCGGAAGTAACTTCCTCGACTTGAAGTCCATCCTCAACTGCCGTCGGTCCCGTTTGCGGCTTATTCTCAGCCCCTTCTGGCTCCTCAACGAACGGATCTTCGGTCATCTCGGGCTCCTCTTCGTGGACATTTTCTTCTTCGACCTGAAAGGCGAATTCCTTGTGATTCAACCCGTTCAATAGTATCCCAAGAAGTCTCTTTTCGACTATCGGTTCTTGAATGAATCAAACTTGATCCTTTCTCCAAAGAAATTCAATAAGTTATTTGAACACGAAGTTACTAAATCTGAATTTGTAACGGAATAGGATCTTTAAAAAGCTTAGTATAATCTAATATTAATATTTTTGTGCAATTATAATATGTACTTTTATATATTTAGATCGATTTTGAATTCATATTGAATAAAAATCGACAAAGGGAAAATTTTTAAGAGAATTAACTTTAAAAAGAATTAAATACACATAGTTTTTCAAAGCAATGATTAAATAACTGTTTACCCGTGTTTCATCATCCGTGGTAACATCATAAGGCTTCTCTTCCTTTTCTTGATCAGATATTTCGCCAAGATCCACTGGATCCTCAGCGCAGCTGGCGTCTTTGTTTTCATTGGCTGCAAGTTGCGTGACGTCCGCCTCCTCCTGTTCCTGCTTTTGATTTTGAACTTCTTCGAGATGTTCCTCGATTATCAATTGTTCTTGCTCCTGTATGAGCGCATCGAGATTTGCCTGGTTGATTATTCTATTAACAAGAAGCGAATTAGATTCTAATGATATAGATGTATAAAGAGAGAGTATAGAAATGATATAAATATTAATCCAGTAATTTTTTAATAATATTAATAAATATAAAATTAAATTTTTTTATTAATATTCCGAATGCACTTATAAGTTATATTAATATTTAATTAATTTAGTTATTTTAACTGAATTTTATGTATTCTATAATAATTT